AGTAGTAGTAGTAGTAGTAGTAGTAGTCGTAGTCGTAGCCGTAGTCGTAGTATTTGTCTGTGTAGAAGTTCTGGTAGTCGTCGTAGTAATAGTAGTAGTGGTAGTAGTAGTAGTAGTTGTTGTAGTAAGTAGTAGTAGTAGTAGTAGTAGTAGTAGTAGTAGTAGTAGTAGTAGTAGTAGTAGTAGTAGTAGTAGTAGTAGTAGTACTAGTACTAGTACTAGTAATAGTAGTAGTAGTGGTAGTAGTAGTAGTAGTAGTAGCAGTAGTAGTAGTAGTACAACGAGTAGTTGTGGTAGTAGTATTACTAGTAGTTGTTGTCGTAGCCGTCGTACTAGTACAGCAGTAGTATAAGTTGTCGTCGTAGTAGTTGTAGTAGAAGTAGCATCAGTCGTAGTAGTCGTGGTAGTAGTCGTAGTCGTAGTCGTAGTTGTAGTAGTGATAGTAGTGATGGTAGTAGTAGTAGTAGTAGTAGTAGTAGTAGTAGTAGTAGTAGTAGTAGTAGTAGTAGTAGTAGTAGTAGTAGTAGTAGTTGGAGTAGTAGTATTAGTAGTCGTAGTAGAAGAAGAAGTAGTAGTAGTAGTAGTAGTAGTCGTCGTAGTAGTAGTAGTAGTAGCAGTAGTCGTAGTAGTAGTCGTCGTAGCAGCAGCAGTAGTAGTAGTAGTAGTAGTCGTAATAGTAGTAGTAGTAGTAGTAGTAGTAGTAGTAGTAGTAGGAGTAGTAGTAGTAGTAGTAGTAGTAGTAGAAGTAGTAGTAGTAGTAGTAGTACTAGTAGTCGTAGTCGTAGTCGTAGTCGTAGTCGTAGCCGTAATAGTAGCAGTAGTAGGAGTAGCAGTAGCAGTAGAGGGAGGGGAAGTGGCATTCCTGGCAGCAGCAGCAGCCGCCGTAGCACTACGAGGCAAAAGTAACATAAGGTAAAAGAGAAGGACGATCGTGGAGACTTGGGAAGAGCAAGAAGGAGAGGAGGGGAGACGTACAGTGAGGAGGAGGAGCAGGAGCAGGAGCAGGAGCAGGAGCAGGAGAAGGAGGAAGGGGAGGCTGACGATGGCGATGGAGGATAACGGGGGAGCAGGAGGAGAATGTGGAGGTGGAGGAGTGGAAGGATTGGCGAGGGTTATGATGATGATGACGACCAGGTAGAGACATTGGACGTGGAGGAGGATGAGAGGGCTTGGACATGGAAGAGGAAAGGTGGACGAAGAAGAGAGTGACCGCGAGGCGTTGGACAGAGCCACCGGCGTCCTCGGTGCGACCATGGACTCATTCCTATCCTCCAACGAGAGCGCGAGTGGGATCACCGAGGAGGCACCACTGCCTCCTACTCATCCTGGTTTCTCAGCTCCGGCTGATCCTCCTCCCTCTCTAGCTGCTGGTGTTGCTCCTTTGGTCCCCCTCTTCTTCCTCTTTGTCGTCCTCCTCCTTCTCATCCTCTTACTTCTTCCCTACATTCGCTTTGTCCACCTTTCCTCCTCACGCTTCCTCTCCCTCCACCTCACCCTCGTCGTGGTTATCCTCCTCCTCGTCTTCCTCCTCCTCCTCCTCCTCCTCCTCCTCCTCCTCCTTCTCCTCATAACCTCCATCTCGATCCCGCTCTTGCTCGCTCCTCCTCCTCCTCCTCCTCCTCCTCCTCCTCCTCCTCCTCCTCCTCTGGCCGATGTAGGCTGGCAGCGCGATGCTCCAGAGCGTGTTCGACGTCAGGAAGGCGCAGCGCAAGACGCCCCAGGCCACAGAGGACGCCGGCGCCCTGTCTTCAAAGATCGACGACTTGGTCGGCCAGCTGGCGAAGGCTGCCGGCGCCGACCTTCAGGCCGCTTCTCACCCGCATCTTCCTCGGCCTCCTGCTCCTCCTCCTCCTCCTCTTCTCCTCCTCTTCGTTCTCCTTCTCATCCGTCTCCCTCTTCCTCTCCCTCCTCGTGATGATCCTCTTCCTCCGCCTCCTCCTGCTTGCCCCTCTTGTTGCACGATTGCCTCCTCCTTGCCCTTGTTCATCATCCTTCTCCTCCTCGCTATTGTCCTCGTCCTCCCATATTGGCCATGCTGGCTGCAAACCAATGCCATCGCCGGAGGAGGTGTGGCTCTCGAAGGAGACCTTCCCAACCATGTCAAGTCTCTCCAGTCTCGGCAGCCTTCGTCGCGCTTCTATCGCATGATGCCTTGGCCTGTGGGTTCATGTGGCACTGGGGCTCTCCATCTTCAGCTGCCCCGATGCGCCCGGGTTGAATCGCGATGCGTGCCGTGGTGAAAACGTGCAGCACGCCGCATGTCGACTCCACGTGTTGGCCCACAGTTTGGCGAGCGTGCCGCGCCGGGCCCGCGCCTTCGGTCTGCGCGCCGGGGCCCGTGCCAGCACGCTACGGGCTGCTGGTTGCGCATCGGGGCAGCCGATCCCACCGCATGGAGTTCGGGCGAAGAGAAATATGCACATGCACCGATCCTGACAACGTCCATCCTTGACCCAGGATCGGTGCATATGCCTTCCTGGCCAAGGCAGGAGGGCATATGCACCGATCCTGGGCTCAGGATGGGTCTGGCCAGAATCGGTGTATGTGCATAGTTCTTTTTCCTCTAGGAGTCACGTGCGGTCTGGGCCGGCTTCCCCGCCTGCGACCCGTCCCCACCGGCGGGCGGGCTCGCCGCTCAGCCTCGGGCCGCCGCCGCTGCATTAGTGGCGGGGGGGGCGCACCGCCTCCGCGATTCGTGGGCAAGGCTGGGCGCGTCCACGTCACCGCGGCCTGGTTGGCCGTCGCCGCTGCGGGCATCCGTCGCCTGGGCGGCCGCGGATGCGAACGCGAGCGATTTGCAGTGTGCGACGTCTCGTGCACTGTGCCTTCGACACTGCTCGATCGCAATTGGCGCTTCCATCTGCTGCCCGCGCTTGAGGACCCTCTGCGCCGCCGATTTTTACCTAACAGCGAAGACTGATAGGTTTCTAGTGGGGTCAAAAGAGAGCATCCTGATTCCCCAGGGGGGTCTGGGCAGGATCCGGGGGATGCCGGGGAAAACGGGGGACTCCCCATTTTCATTGCCAGGAGCCACATTCTGACTCCCAGGCCACATTTTGAATGCCCGGAGCCAACTGAAAGCCACTTCGTGTTCTTCGTGCTCCCAGAATACCATTCCCAGGCCACATTTTGAATGCCCGGAGCCAACTGTAGGCCACTTCGTGTTCTTCGTGTTCCCAGAACACCATTCCCAGACCACATTTTGAATGCCCGGAGCCAACTGTAGACCACTTCGTGTTCTTCGTTTTCCCAGAACACCATTCCCATGCTAATTTTGAATGCCCGGAGCCAGCTGTAGGCCACTTCGTGTTCTTCGTGTTCCCAGAACACCATTCCCAGACCACATTTCGAATGCCCGGAGCCAACTGTAGACCACGTCGTGTTCTTCGTGTTCCCAGAACACCAGTCCTGTGCCATATTTTGAATGCCCGAGTTGAGGCAGGCTGAGGCTGAGGCAGGCTGAGGCCGAGGCAGGCTGAGGCTGAGGCTGAGGCAAGCCGAGGCAGGCTGAGGCTGAGGCTGAGGCAGGCTGAGGCTGAGGCAGGCTGAGGCTGACGCAGGCTGAGGCCGAGGCAGGCTGAGGCTGAGGCTGAGGCAGGCTGAGGCTGAGGCAGGCTGAGGCTGAGGCTGGGGCCGAGGCAGGCTAAGGCTGAGTCCGAGGCAAGCCGAGGCAGGCTGAGGCTGAGGCTGAGGCTGATGCTGAGGCAAGGCAGGCTGAGGCTGAGACAGGCTGAGGTTGAGGCTGAGGCAGGCTGAGGCTGAGGCAGGCTGAGGCTGAGTCCGAGGCAGGCTCAGGCCGAGACAGGCTGAGGCTGAGGCTGAGGCTGAGGCTGAGGCTGAGGCCGAGGCAGGCCGAAGCTGAGACAAGGTGAGGCTGAATGGGGGGGGAAGGGGGGGGGGAGGAGGGGAGGCTGAGACAGGCTGAGGCCGAGGCAGGCTGAGTCCGAGGCAGGCTGAGGCTGAGGTTGAGGCAAGACAGGCAGGCTGAGGCTGAGGCTGAGGCTGAGGCTGAGGCTGAGGCTGAGGCAGGCTGAGGCTGAGGCTGAGGCAGGCTGAGGCCGAGGCAGGCTGAGGCTGAGGCTGAGGCATGCTGAGGCTGAGGCCGAGGCAGGCTGAGGCTGAGGCTGAGGCAAGCCGAGGCAGGCTGAGGCTGAGGCTGAAACTGAGGCAGGTTGAGGCATCCGTAGGAATCCCTAGGAATCCTTAGGAATCCGTAGGCATCCTTAGGAATCCGTAGGCATAGTTAAGAATCCTCAGGAATCCTTAGGAATCCTTAGGATTCCATTGGATCCTAAGGCCGTTGCCACTGCGACTGTCATTGCGAATGCGACTGCGACTGCGAGAACATAATTCTACATCTGGATTATCACCTGGATCTGAATGGGAATGCTTCCAGATATGTTTATGCACATCACATCGCTGTTAGGTTGCTTTGCCGGGATAATTTTAACACAACAAGAGAGGACAGAAAACAAAAAACGAATGCGAATGCGAATGCGAATGCGGTTGCAGTGCCTGTGGTTGCCATGGACGCGCTGAGCGCGGGACGGTTGCTGGCGCTGCGGGGCCTCGCCCGCCGCCTCTTGGAGCGCCCGCGGCAAGCGGCGAGGCTGCGCCGCGTCGGCGAGGTCACGTTCCTCGCGGATCCTGCTGCTGCTGCTGCTGCTCATATCCTCCTCCTCAGTCTCCTCGTACCCCTCCTGTTCCTGTGCATCCCGCTTCCCTCCCAACAAAAACTCATGATCCTCCTCCTCTATCTCCTCCTCCTCTTCGCCTACCGCTCCTCGCCCCCCTTTGCCGAGAGAGAGAGAGAGAGAGAGAGAGAGAGTGCGAGAGATAGAGAGAGAGAGCGAGGGCGAGAGAGAGAGAGATAGAGACAGACAAGCAGACCAGACAGACAGACAGACATACTGGCAGACAGACAGACAGATAGACAGGCAGGCAGGCTGGCAGGCAGACAGACAGACAGAGGAATAGAGAGAGAGAGAGAAAGCGACCAGGCCGGGGAAACGTTGACTCTCTCCATCGGCGGGGAGAACGGCACTGGCGTGGGTGCCTTAGGCGACTCGTGGCCCACAGGTCAGGGCCCCGCCGCGGAGCTTAGCAAATCGCACCCCTCGATGATCGATCAGCGTCTCCCCCCATGATCCTCGTTCGTCACCCTCCTCCTGCTCCGCCTCCCCACTCTTCTCCCCCTCGTCCCTCGTTCCGGGATCCGCCGTGGAACGTAGGTCGTTGGTCCTTCGATCGTCGACCAGGATCCCTTACTCCTCCTTCCTCCTCGTAGCCAAGGCGAGAGAGAGAGAGAGCGAGCAGACAGCAGCGCAGCAGTTGGCTCTAGCCTCTCAGGTGAGCGGGCCAGACGCAACGCCACGGAGGAGCTCGCGAAGATCGGAGAAGGAGGAGGAGGATGGTGGTGAAGGAGGAGGAGGAGGAGGAGGAGGAGGAGGAGGAGGAGGAGGAGGAGGAGCTCTCTCGAAGATCGCAGGGCTCCCCATGTCAAGGCAGGCTGCGGCTGGAGCTGCTGGTGGCGGCAGGGGGCGCACGTTCCATCTGAGCTGCGACCCCAAGCTCCTCCCCCCCCCATCCTCCTTGTCCCCCTCTTCCTCCTCTTCCTCCTCCTCCTCCTCCTTCTCGTCCTCTTCCTCTTCCTCCCCCTCCTCCTTAAATTGTTCCTCCATCCACCTCCCTCTTGGGGTACGACTGCTTCCCCAAGCGTTCGAGGCGCATGCGCGTGAGGAGCACGAGAAGCAGGGCCTCCTGAAGTTCAAGCCCGACCTGGCGTCGCTCCGTGACGTCCTGGGGCTCCAAGGAGAGAGAGGTGCTCGCCATGATGGCCTGGCAGCAGGCCTCGGAGCATGTTTATGCCGGTGGAGTTCGACAGGGGCTGAGATGCTATCATTCAGACGTCTGCAAGCGCAGCTTCTCGGCATGCCAAAATGGAGTAGGATAGCGGGCGCTGTAGCGACAGGAGGATGTTGGCCCAGGATTCGTCGTGTTGATGAAGCTGGGGCCCAAGCATTCAAGGCGTCAAGGAAGTGCCTGGGATATTCGGTTAAAGACGAGGGGGCCTATGGGCCGACTTGGGGCGATTAGTGCGGCCTCTTGGGCCGTCTTGGTGCGATCCCAGAAGCCGTCCGAGCCGTCTTGGGCCGCTCTTGGCCAGCAAGGGCGGTAACCCCAAAACATGTCAACGAACTCAGGAGATCACTATCGCTGGCTCGGCAGATGGTGCGGTTGTTGCAAGAGCACAGCTTCTGCCGCCGACGACTTGCCTGACTGCTTGTCTCCGTGCTCATGCTGGGCACGGAAGCGAGGACCGCGTTCTGGCTGCGAGGGCCCAGGCCGTGGGTATGGGCAGCAACCGGTCCACGAACAGAGGAGGAGCTTCAGCACTTCTCGGGAGGGGCGGCACAGCACAACGACTACTAGGAGGCCTCACGAGCGAAGTGAACCCCACGTCCCCCCTTAGAAATCGTGGGGTGGTGGAGTAGGGCATGTGGCCTCCTACCTTCATTACTTTCGGCCACGGCACTTCGTCTGATCCTGCATGGACGCTTGGAGACGCCAGCGTGGGGGAAGGCACGACTGACCCAGGACTCCACGAGGTCGGCCTAGCAGTATTCAAAGTTGGTCAGGTTCGTCCGTTTCAGATTGCATCTGCGGTTTCAGGAGGTCTCCCAGGAGGTCAGGGACGCGTGCCGCGGGGGGAGTTGCACACCTTGCAGAACAATGTCCGTGGCTTGAGTGGGGCAGCAGTGTACGTGACAGACACCAGCATGGTGGCTGATGGCCAGGCTGAGCTTTGATTTTTGAAGCCGCCAGGTGGCATCGCTGACTCTTGCGGCATGCCGTCGGAAATGCCGTCGGACAAGCCTTCCAGACCAGAGACCGCTCAGAGTTATCGACCTTTTCGTCAACTCACGCCTGCCTGGATCGGACATTGTCAGTGGCACGGCGTGCAGCAGCTGGCGGTAGGCAACGAGGCGGCAGATGTATTGGCAGGCGCAGCGGCTGCCGGGGGCAGGATGAGTGGTGATACCAAGTATCGGTTCACGCGTGTCGAAAAGGACGTTTCTGTCATACGTGTGCGTCCACCAGGTGCCACCCTTTACACGATGTAGGTCAGGACTGAACTGGAGGAGAAGATCTCTGGGAGTCCGAAGGGAACAGAGAACAGAGCCTGTTCCTCCTCTTGCAGGTGTTAGGTTATCTGCAGCTGGACGAATCTGGCAGGCGGTGCAGTCGGTGTTTCAGCTCAGCCACTCTGGCGACGCAGAGTGAATAGATGCAGTTTCTGTGTGTTCAACCTGTGAGTGCTGACGGGAGGTTCTTCGCTCTCCCCCCAAGCCGGTTGCACGTAGCGGGGAGTTGTGTCCGTAATGGTCACTGAATGCGTTTGCACAAACAACTCAAATTGTGGTGTTGCGCCTATTGTGGTTTCTGTGGCCGTATTCTGACTCAGAACTTGGGACGATCATGCCCCAGGGCTACGAGTGCGAACCGACGCGAGTATTTAGTGAGCTTTTATATCGGGTCCATTCCGATCGATTGCCGAAAGCGCTCAGCATGGTCGTCAAGGTCGTTCGCAAGCGCTCGTAGTATCGTTATCTCGCCTCACATCGTGACTGGTCTTACTCATTTACTCCCTCCACTTCCCCCATCCTGCACGCTTCCCTCCCCATCCTCCCCTTGCCCCTCCTCCTTCACCTCCCCCCCCTCCCACTCCTCCTCCCCCGCCTCCTCCTCCTCCCATTCCCGCTCCTCGCTCTCGCGCTTCGATCGACTGGTCGCTTGGGGCTTTGGCAACCACCGATCGGTCGGCGACGGGCGGGACAACGGACCAATCGAGCGGGCCGGCCTCTTGACCAGGACGGAAGGAAATCGGGAGGAGGAGGGGGTGAATGAGGAGAGATAGCAGGGCAGGAGTAGGAGTAGGAGTAGTATGAGGAGGAGGAGGAGGAGGAGGAGGAGGAGGAGGAGGAACAAATGCGAGGGGGAGGAGGAGGAGGTATGAGGAAAACAACGGGGATGAGGGGGAGGGTGAAGACGGCGAGGACGAGGGAACGAAAGAGGAGGCGGGAGGAAGATGTACGTGGTGTGTGGGAGGCGCCAGGCTTGATGATGCGCCTCCTCTTGTCCCGCGCCCTCTTGAGGTTCAAGAGGAGGCGGGACATGATGAGGAGGCTCAAGACTTGAATCGCGTGAGGTGCCCAAACAGCACCGCACTCAGGATGCCGCGTCTCCAAGTGGCATCCATCGCCGCTGACCTTCTGGGCTATGGCCTGGCTGTTGCGTGCCACGGAAGAGGCGGAGCGCACGCCCGACCGCGAGGACCGAGCCCTCATGGCTCCTCCTCCCACTATGCAGGGCGGGCGCCGACTCATCGGCGCGTTCCCAGTTGGCACCGTGCCCGGGGAAGCGGCATTAGGATGCAATTCCTGGGAGGTTGGATTCAGCATCGGCGTAGGTAGGTCCGTGATCCAGAACTGGCCTCACCTGGCACAGTCCAGCTTAAGTCAGGTCAATCTGGCATAGCAGGGCTGAAGCAGGCTTAGACATGGGTTTAGTTCGGCCCCTATTCGGGCTCATTAGCCCTCCATCGTTCTTTCTTAGGCGTGTTTATGGAGATTTTGAACTTCACCGAAGGTTTCCATGTTTGGCGCTGAGCTGCCACTAGTCAACAGCGGCGAATTGGGGCTGATTGGTGGTCAGATGGTGCGGGGCGTGTGCCGCCAGTTGCCGCCTATCGGCTGCCGCCACTTGCCGCCAGCCCGCCAACATTTTGGCCAAGGCCGGCCTCCATTAAAACGAGCGTGCGTGTTTACGACGACCTCCCAGGAGAGGTGGCTCGTAAGTTTCCGGAAGAAAAACGGCATAAACATAAACTGTTGGCGCTCCGCGAAGGTTTCTTGGATCCGCGCTGGGGCCCCCTGGCGGCGCCTCCAGCGCCGCCTCTGGCGCGCTCCGCGCGCCAGGGAGGGGGTCCAGCGCTGATCCAAGAATTCCGCGCGGAGCCCCAAAAGTTTGTGTGCATGCCGTTTGCATTCTCTCTTTCCATGAAAACGAGCGCACGCTCTTGCGACGACCTCCCAGGTCGGTGGCCACATGCGAACCCTGCCCCGCCACCCCACGATTCTAACGGGGGAGGTGGGTTTCACGCCGCTTGGGACGTCCCGAACGAAGTGAACCCCACTTCCCCCCTCGAAAATCAGAAGGGTTCCCATGTGGCCTCCCTCCCAGGAGAGTCGCCTCTCACGTTTTGCTGGCTGGCTCGGCGGGGGGGGCGCCCTGTCGGGACGCTCAAGCGGCCCTCGCTGCTGTGCCGGGGCCCTGTCGGGGCGCCGCCGACGTGCCCCCTCGGCGGCGGCGGGCTCCCCCCGCGCCCGCCGCTGGGGCGGGGGGGGGGCGCCTCGGCCAGGAGGCGGAGGAGGAAGGACAGGAGGAGGAGGAGGAGGAGGAGGAGGAGGAGGAGGAGGAGGAGGGCTCCGCTCCTGCCCCCCCCTTTTTTGGCCGGGGCCTCGGCGAGGGCGCTGCCAGCGCGGGGCGGCCTGGAAGTCTAGACCTCCCAGGTGGGGTCCGAGCAGATGGGGTCGGAGGATCGCGCCGATGCCGCCGATGCATCGCCGATGCGGCTCGACGTGGGGCCCGATGTGCTTCACGTCGACGTCTTCGATGCATCGCCGACGTCGCCGATGCACCGCCGATGCACCGCCGATGCATCGGTGAAGAATCGCCGAGCGGCGCGATCCTCCGATCCCATCTCCTCGGACCCCATCTAGGAGGCCTCTACTCTTGGTCGGGGCCTCGGCGAGAACGCTACCAGTGCGGGGTGGCCTGGAATCCTCTGCGAGCCGAGTGTCCGCAGAGGTCTTTGGTCTCTGGGCGGTGCTGTTGGTTCTCGGCGGGCTTTTCCAGCCTCGGGATGCCTTTCAGCAGCTGCGCTCCGCCGCGAGCGTTCCGGGTGTGCCCGGATCGTCCCAGGCGGCCGCCAGAGGCCCGAGTTGTGGCCCAGAGGGTCAGAGCCCCGAATCATCAGGGGTAACTC